AGCACTATAATCAAAAATTCGAATGAAAAGAAATTGTTAATGGTATTTTGAAACATCTGTACTTTAAAAACTGTTTTAGATCAATTGAGGTTTTTATGATTGAGTAGAACTGCATATGACATCAAACTGAAAATAACTTGCTGATTTGTTTATGAATTTACCAAAACTATGGACGTGTTAATTGAAAGTTGAATATTCACATTTTGACTAGCGTCCTTTCACCTTTCGTTGTCATTATTCTGTTGCTACTTATTTTAGCAAAAAAATATACAAAAGCCAAATGGACCGCAAATTTAGTTATTTGAATCTAATTTTGATTGAAAGTGGTTTGTATTAGTTTAATTTGAGTTAGTTTAATTTGAGTTTAATTTGAGTTTGCTCTTATTAGTTAAGCTGAAAAACGCAAACAAAAGCTTTCAACACTATTCCAATCAATTTCAATTTCACATTACTAACTTTTTCATTTTCGAATTGAATATACTCATACACAAGTCTACGGAAAACTCTATAGAAATCTGTGATACATAGAATTAGTTCTTTCATTTTAGGTTTTTGTGCCTATTTTTATGAAGTTGTTTTTAGTAAAAAACTATCAGAAAAAATTGTGGTGCATTAAAAACTACGATAATGCAAAATTTAGTACGGCAGATTTACATTTACTAGTAGTAATCATTTGCCAAAATAACAGTGGTCGAAACAATTTTGAAAACAAAGATCGGCTCTTTTTCAGTTATCCCACCCCCCACCTCACGCCAGCTTCAACTTATTAGTGAAACGAGTGGTTTTATGAGGTTGAGTATGAAAATCAAATTTGTTTTTCGTGGTCTTATTAGTCTGTATGTAAATTTTCATAACAATCGGACAATGTAGTCAACAAATTTACATGTAAAAATTTGCAGGTGGGGGGGAAAGGAAAAAGAGCCCAAAGATCAATTGTAATAAAAACTAAAATTCAATTCCCGGGTTGAACAAAAGTGACTATATTAAAAATTTTCATATCAAAATTTTTAAACAATTTTACAAAATTGAACATTAGGCTCTAAGAATGTTTAAAATATTGGGTATTTTCTTAACAGAAAAGTGTAAGATTATAAAATTTCCTATATTTTCTTTTTAAGTTTTTGAAAAATTCTTGCTGTCATTCTTAACTTTTTTGAACTAGTTTTTTTGTCAATTTCTAAAACTCCTGTCAATATTCACCTGAATGTCACACACAACACGTCCACAAAACACTTTGATATTATTAGCAGAAGATTTTTTTTGATGTCTCCAAAATTTTCACGTATAATTAAATACGAATATTCTAATTTACTACGATAAGGCTTAATACGTATAACTAGGAGATTCAATGAAAAAACAATAAATTTTTGCTTGAAAGAATAAAAAAAAACATTGTAAGTTTTTTATATGCATGAGTTTGGAACAAAAACAAATTGTTTCTAAAAACGACTTTTACCTTTTATTACTGCATAAATTCAGATTCAAAGCAATTTTGGCTTTGTTCTTGATTTTTAGGGAAAAAAAAAGTTTTCATAAAAGAAAGATCTCCTAAAATTTTTTGTATAAGAAAGTTGTAAGATAGTGGAAATTCCCTACAAATTTTATGAGAAAGTCTAACACATGGTATTTTTTGTGGAATGATCAGCCGGGAATCTCAATTAACTTTGAAACATAATGAAAACATCTTATAAGACAGCTTTTCAAGAAAAAAGGATTTCAGAAAGTTCTTTGTTTAGGCAGTACGATAGCGTGTGACTCAGTTTTGACTTTTATTAGGTTTTGGTTCCGTTAGTTTTCACAACTGATAGAAGTTGGATGAAGTGTATCAGTTAACTTCACATAAGCTTCAAACTTACGATGTACAGAAGGATCTTAAAAGTTTAAAAATGAAGCTGAAATACGTTTGATATGGTCTAGTTAGTCTGCATGCCAATTTTTGTAACAATCGGACAACGTGATCAGAAAGTTTACAATATAATTTTGTAGAAGGGGGAAAGTAAAAAGCGAAGTTTTCAATTTTTAAAATTAAGCGTTTCACGAAATAATATGGAGTAAAAAAACGGATGCTTTGTAGATGGCACAGAATGTGCCCGCCACTTTTATTGGAGATGAAATTCAAACAAAAGAATGTTGAACAAAGTTGAAGTCATAACAAAAAAATGTTTTAGGCTTCAGTATTTTATGTAAAAAAAAGAAAAAGCTTGGAATGAAGCAAGTTCGCACTAAGAGAACCGTGATTGATGCTCCGATTAAGAAAGACCAATTTTCTCTCTCTAAATGTAGCCCCCAGTAATTTATAGCCCCCCATTAGATAGGATAAGCCACATAAAACGAATAAACTTGCCCAAAAGAATAGTTTGTCCATGTTTATCTATTTGCTCATAATTCGTACAGCACTTTTAATTCAACGCTAAGAGAAAAATTTTTGATGCGTTTTGTATTAAAGCACTTATGATTGATAATACAATTGTTAATTCAAAATCTGTATTGTTAATTTTTTATTATGATGATGGGATAAATTGTGTAAATTCCCAGCAATAAATTTTCAAAAAAATTATGATTTGAGAAAAAAAATTGTTCTACAGCTTTTCAGCCTTGTTAAAATTGCTTAAATCAGACAATTTTTTGTTCGTTTTCTGTCGTTTTTCGGTTTGATTCAACCGATAAAAAGCAAGTGGACCTTCCATGCTTTGGGTTTTGTAAAAAAAAACTGATATTTGCATCGATCACTTTCCTCTGAAAACCTTCAATTCATATTGGGTAAAAAATAAAATGTATCAACACTATAAGGTAAATTATGATAAAAACTTGAAGTGGCATTTAACTTTTTGTTTGGTATCGTTTTGTTGGGATCTAAGAACAACCCACTCGGGTCCATAAATCAGAAAATTATACAATTTCTCACAATTTTGCACGGTTTGCAGGATTTTTCAAAACTATCGAACCACCTTCAGAACACAAGTTGAACTTGCCAAAAACACTTGAAAAGCACTTGTGAAAACAGATTTATATCAATGCGTTTCTATAAGTTATATTCATGCGTTTATATGCGTTTCTATAAATTTAAATCAGTTATATTCATTGCGTGTGAACTGAATGAAAAACGCAAACCATAATTTTTATATTGAAAAAACTACAATTAACATTCTTTGATTGCTAATGAGTTTAAGTCCGGGGTGGCTCGCTCATAGAGTAATTTCAGATAAAGTACATCGTCTGTTCGTCACGCTATCTTATTTTCGGCCGGATAGATTCGTGCAACTTCTTAGTCTAATACGAATCTTGATCTTACTCTTATATATCTTAGTTTCAATAGATCTATTGTAAATGGTATTTTCGAGTTAGATATCAGGAACTGTTTTGAAGGAGAACGACTGTCTTTAAATTATATTTATTTTGTTCTGTTGCTGAAACTATCAATAATTTCAGCTTTACAAAAATTTGTAAGTGTTAGTTATGGATCATGATTGGTTAGTTAGAAATTTTTTATGGAGATAGTTATCAATAATGTAATTGGAAAGAAATACTAGTTTTAAACTGGTTCCACTATGCGACGGTAAAATTTTTTCATTGTAAAACGTCCATTGCTATAAAAATAGCAAAGCTTCAACATGGATAGGTTCTTTAAGAAACACAAAATGTTGTTGTTTAAATCATAACAAATATTTTAAGTTGTTATTACCTTGAACACATTGTTTTTCACGGCATGAAATTATGAATAACTCAAAAAAAATGTTTAAGTGCACATAGTTTTTGCAATTTGTGTGGTAAAACAACTAGCGTCAAACCATTCTCGTGTCTGGGAATTTTATGACTACCTTCTTCCATAATGTAGTTGTATGGCCACATATTGCAATTGTATGACTCGCATTGTTAGCATGCTAAAGGAGAGTGTTTGTTTGTTTGTTTGCAAGGTAACCTAGATTCATTTTTCCTCACAATAAGAACTCAAAATGTGTCTTTTGTCCGAATAAGTATTTTTTTGACTAAATGTGGTTGAAAAAATTGTTTATGAAAATTAACAGGTCATAAACAACTACAAAAAGGCTACGACTATTAAATATCCTAAACTAATAGCATGTCATAATGGCGTTAAATTTTTGGAAGGTAAACAGCCAATGTAATATATATGACTGAGTTTCTTGACTGGTTTTCTTAGTTTTAGGCTATCAAACCCGAGGAACGCTTTTTCCAGACTAGGTCCGTGGTATAATTCGAGTCCAATTCGACTCTGGGGCAGAACCCATGAAAGCATATATGAAGGAGGCTTAAGCATAGTGGTAATGCGTTCCCCTTGTAAACATGGGATCGTGTAATCTGTAATTTGATCGTGTAGCGCCTGACGTAACCCTGCCATAGCATTGAAAGAGTGTGAGGATGAGCTCATCCAGTTGACCATTAGTTTCAGGTCTAACACAGCCTGACAGATATCAACTGCAGCAGTGATACCACGTAAGAAGTTCTAGAAGCAAAAAAAACGACCTTGAGTCGCAAAAAAGAGCTTCGCTCAACGGAATAATTAAGGCTGGAATTTGGGGAAGAAAACTGGCTATGTTTAGACATGTGAGTATCCTTTCATAGATCCTCTGCAAATCGCAGAAGCCACAATTAATAATTCATATTATAGACACAGATTGCAATCCGGGCAGCCAAAAATGTCATGAATTTTTTTGTCGAAACTCGTAACTAACTACTGCTTACACCTGGTTTAAAACAGGCATTATTGAACTTAAATTAAACTCAATGTTTATAAATTTCACATGCGGTAACCATAATTGCACTTTTGTTGATATCAATAAATTTAATAGCATGCGATTAAAATTCTTTTTGAAAATGATTAGCATTCGAATATTTAGTAACAAAATTAATTTAAAATGGCAAAAGTTTGAACCGATGCATTTTTTAAAACAACATTCTTCTATAGCGTTTTTCAAGTGTTACGATTTAAATTTTTTTCGAACAATGCTCAAAGACAAGCCAATCTGCATTTGATTCCAACGCAAATTTCACTTTTTGATGCTCATTTACGTTCAAAAAAAGGTCGGTTGTCAAACTTTTGAAATGATTTTCTTAAATTAATTTTAAGTTCAATGTGAAAGGATGAGATTGTTTTGACTCCGATTGAGTTTGATGCTCAATTCTGTGAGTTTTGCACGGTTTGCATTGTTGCACGGATGCACTTGCACGGCTGACAGCACTGTGAGTTTAGCTGTACATGTTGAGTTGCACCCACTGAAAAAAAAAACAAGTTGCAAAACCAAAAAGAAAGGATAATATCTGAGCTCAGAATAAGTTCCGCAGTCAAAAATTACAATGATGAATGATGATTATAATCATCTGGATTTTCGAAATGTTTAGTTAAATTGACATACGGCATATCAGTTTTCCTTAATTATTTTTGGACAACTTTTTTAAGCTTTCAATAATTTAGTGAAAGTTAATGAAAATAATTCGATTTGAAAAAATTAAATGACATAAAAAAAATCAGATAAAGTTGGTACTTACATGTTTCAAGTCGACTTCACCTTTGCCTTTCCCATTTTTGTTTGCATCAAATCGCTCTAAGCAAACAAGCTCAGTTTCATCAAGAAATTTTATCTTTTAATCATTTCAGCTACAATTGAATCGTTCTAGAAGCATAAAAAACATAATGACATAGATTTTTTTCCACTATAGCCCCCACTCAGAAATTATATTTGACTGTTCCAACTATTTTACAAGAAAATGGCGGAATATTTGTGACCGATTTTTTTTTCTACAGAAAAAGTCCGACTTTCAAACTAGCATTTTTGACGGATTTTTTAGAAATGCTTCTAAAAGTATTGTTGCCAAGAGCTCAAAATTCAAAAGATGTTTCATATTTGATTACTTTTTTTTAAATTATGGGGGTTCAGAGATTGCCAATTTGTTCAATTTGGGAAAATTAACGCGCTATATATTTTGTGCTATCAACGCGTACGAGGAGAATGAATCAGTTGTTTTACAAATCATTCCAAATTGGATTAAGGCATGCTCTTTCTCCTATTCAACACTTTGCTTTATAAAAATCATATCACTTGTACTTTACATAACTTGTGAGGGGATGACTTAAATCGTTTTATAAAATAAACTGCTTTAAATAGAAGACAGCATTTAAACAAGTATTATGATGAATTTTTTCTCATATGCATTGTATTTAGGTAAAATTGAGTTAAAAATTTCGCTTAAAACCGCGTCAGCTCGCAAGAAAAAAGACAAATAGCAAAACTTAAGGAAAGCAACAACTCGCAGGCTTTGCAAACGAAACTAAATTTTAAATATTTCGGATTAAATTGAGTATATTGAGATTTGTCGTTAAATCCAAGTTGAATCACAATGCAAGCTTTGTATTACTTTTGACCCGACTTTCGGGTGCTTTATTTCTGCTGACTAATTTCGACTTTTAACTAGCATTTTTTGACAATTTTATTTTCAATTCAATCCATATAAATTTTTGTCTTGCGCTCAAAAATAAAAAAATATTTCACTTGTGATCAATTTTTGTAAGTTTATGGTGTTTAAAAAATTGCCAGTTTGGGTATTTTGGGATAATTAACGCGCGATACTTTTCATTCTATTAACGTGTGAAAGGGAATTGAACCCATAAAAGAAATTGTTCCAAATTGGATTGAGGCATACTCTTTGGTAAATTTATCAGTTTGCTTTATGCAAAACATATCTTTTTGACGTGTGAGGGCATGATTTTCAAAAAAAACCATCAAATCTAAATTTGAATACTTGAAAGTTTCAATTTTTGAAAATTTCATCAATTAATTCAATTTGGATTACTCCACAGAAAAAATGCATTCGGAACTTTCAAGGCTTTGCCTTGATACGAGTTTTGTTCGTACAGAATCATAACTCATTTTGGAAAGAGTTCTGATTTGGATTTTACGCGTTATATATCGAACAAAGTTAGCTGTTAAATTTCCCAAATTGGCCAAAATGGCAGTTTTTGAACCAAAATTTTGTCGCAATTCGATTTTGGTTTTGAGTTTCGGCTCACTTTACGAATGTTTTTTAAACTGTGAGAGATATTTATATCAAAAACTGTTAAAAAAAAGTCAAAATTGTCTTGAGAAAACAAACATCTTCAAAAGTAAGACCAAAAAAATACATTCCTGAGCCAGGGTCAACATTGCAATGAAATTCAAGTTCAGGAAGAACCTAGCTATAAAATCAAAAAGTTTTCCTTTTCTTTCTGATTTTCTATCACCGTCGTAAAAATTCTTTCTAATTTTCTATACCTTCGTAGTCAAAAAGACTCATTTAATCATGCTGATATGTTTAGAGCATCAGTAATTATTTGAAATAGGCTTTTTCACAAAAATCATACAAAAGGACTCTGAAAAAAGCGAAATTTCTGAATTTAGACAAATCGATGAGCCGTAAGCAAGATTGTGAGGCTCTTTTTCCTTGTCCCACCTGCGAATTTTATCTAGTAAATTAATTTTCACTTAGTCCGATCATAACCATAACAGTCATGTGGACCTCTTGTGCTGCTAGAAACACATTTGGTTGTCGTATCTAAATTTATTAAACCACTCGTTATACCTTGTACAGTGTACGATTATTCCAAAAAATTTATCCTTATTGGAGGTGGGGCAAAAACACTAATTCGTTTAAAATTGAGCGAGTTGAATCGAAAACAGGAAGATGATTTGAATTTTTTCAACTGTCTCTTTCTTGATATGATGATCGACGCGCTAGCGATACGCAGTAGTTTTCGCACGTTTATTATAAGAAAAAAACTAAAATTTTAATTAAAAATTGAAAAAACTAGAAGAAATTGTATCTTTTTCTGGAGCTCACCGAAAGTGGATCTAAGTTTGCATGCAATCATGACGAAGTCGTTGAAGTCTATCTGGTTCTGTCTGTTCGCATATCTGGTCACCACACAAGAGAAGGTCATGCTGTCCAGCGAGTAGCCCAGGTACTTCAGGGCATCCTGAAACACAACAACCAAAACAATTATTATATTTTAAATAACTTTAACTATTAAATGATGTAACAATAGAATTACAGCGCTGTGCATTTATGGATTAAGTTTAGGAGAAGCAATCAGGCTGTGTACTCGATATTTAGAAATTTTGACTATCGAAAAAGAGCTGGTTTAATTCGCAAAATACGAAATTTGATATGAACAAATACCTGGAAATCGTAATTTTTTTTTGAAAATACTCTTTGAAAAAGTAGAAACTTCTTAAAAATGGTAATAATTGTGGTTTCTGTGATCGACAGAGAAATTTTGAAAGGCTGTTCAGCCTGTCTAAGCATAAAATCCATTTCCATGATCATGAAAACAGTACCAAAAAGTGGACAAACCTGCAGCTCAAATGAGGAGAAAGATCCGCTCTTGTCTTGGTCGTATTCTATGAAGACCTTCTTACACATGCAAATGTACACCCACAGCTCAGAGAACTCCTGGAAGCCCAGTTTGCCAGACATGTCACTCTAATTAACATAATCAGCATAATTAGTATTACATAATTGATCTCAAAAAAAGAACAGACTCGATTAATATTTACACAACTCAAAACAGTAAAAAATCCCATCTTGGTAGATAAAAATGACATATGCACAAGTTTTGACAAAAAAACCGCAGTAAGAAAATAGAGTCGCATCTGGCTTTCAAGAGAGATCAGAAAAAAAGTTGAAAAAAAAAACAAATAATAAATTGACTTGTCCAGAAATTGAACTCTCATCAAACAAAACTGACAGAATTTTTGAGGAAACATGCAAAATTCTTGTAGAGAAATAACAAAAAAGACAATTGTCAATTTTATAGTATTTATTGAAGCATACAGTTACACATAAAACAAGGATCGACTGATACTGCGCAATTAGCACAGAATGTTCCCACCATAATATTAAAAAAAAATTCAAATTAGTGTCGCTTATACTGCGTGGTGTGATAAAAGGATTTGTACAAAAAACTAGAACTCAGGCATATTCGATAGTCTTAGTTAAAAAGTCAAGTTGGTCAACAGTTGTTGTAAGAACAATGACTAGAAACACAAAAAAAAACAGAAAATAATCCGAAAAAAAATTTCAAAATTTGAAATTTTTGAAAAGCAAACTGGCGTTAAAAATCTTCAGAACTAACTATACTCGAATAAACTCTAATAAAGTAATCACGGCTTATATTAAACATAATTTGCTATCGTAAGCCAAACGCTACCAAAACAAACTTTACTTGCTCGTTTTGTCCCGCACCGAAGTTTCTTGGATAACAATCGGTGATAATGGAAAAATGTTGAATAAATTGTTGTCTATATAACCGATTATAATGGATTATATTTCGTTCAATAAAATTTTTTTGAAACATTACGAGGTCAAATTGTGTATTTTGTGAACTGTAAGCGATTCCTCTTTTTCTTCTTTTGTTGTTTTAACATATTTGAAGACTTGTCTCTGGAATCCAGAATCATACAAATGCAAAACTGTACGCCTATCCAGTGCACAATTTGGCCTCGTAATGAAAAAAAATACTCGATTATAATCGATTAAAAATGGATTTTATTGCATCGAAATTATTAACAATAAAATTCACATCTAATCAGTTATAATCAATTTTTTTTTTAATTATAAAAGAGACAGGCAATAAAAATGCATTTTAATCGATTACTATCCATAGAACTTCAGTGCTGAATTCTCGAAACTGGGTTTACTTTTTTCAAAAGTTTTTCATGTTGATCGAATCAGGACTGAAAAGTTCTTAGTAAGATATATCACTCGAAATAATCCGATGATTAATTCTGGTGCCTCATTTTGAGTAAAAAACAAAAAAAACTATAACACACCCAAAAACAAACATAATTCATTGACCGGAACAAAAATTTCGTGTTCTGGTTATGGGTAACTTTTGGAATTTCGTAAGTTTTTCCCCACTTGTGCAACAAGGGGGAGATTCGTTACTAGGTACAAAATTCACATATGCTTAACCATTGAGCTAGTTCAAATTAGGGGTGGCAGTTCGTTACTAGCAACCAAAGGGGGTAATCGTGAAATAAATATTCAATTTATGAAATGGTATCGACTGAAATCGTTGTGAGAAATCCATGAAAGAATTATTAATTATGTAATTCCATGAATAAAAAAAACAGTTATGTAATTCAATGAATGAATAAAATAATTATGTAATTCCATGAATGGATGAAACAATTACGTAATTGATTGAATGAATAAAATAATTATGTAATTCCATGGATGAACAAAATAATTATGTAATTGTGTGAATGAATGAATGAATGTGTGTAATAACGTGGTAGTGTATATGGCACTGACGTCATAGATGGCGACCATAGTCCTGCAGGCGTCGATGGAGAAGTTGCCAGTCTTCACTTCCTTCAGAGCATCGGTGGAGTTCATCATCTCTTCCAGCTCGAAAGCATCCACCTCCATGTCCTAAACATATGTTGACAGTTACACTCACAACAACACAGGGAGAAATATTTACCCACACAGATAGACAGTAAGAGTTATAGTTTACTAACCTTAAACTTACTCAGGGGCGGATCTAGGATTTCCTCGAGGGGGGGGGGGGGGTTTCAAAAAATTTTCGAAAATTTTGATGACCCTTTTTTTAGGTCGACCAATTGATTTTCCAAGCTCTCCTAAAGTCGTAAAGCACTAAAAAGACGCAGGCAAAATTTTTTAAAAACAGGTGGAAAAGCCGTTTTTGGGCACTTTTTGGAAATTTTTGACAAAAAAAATCGCTTTTTTTGGCGCGCTCTCCACCCTCAGTATTAGTATATATTGGCGCTCAAGGCGCGTTTAGAAAATTTTTAGGGTCCGTCACCAAACATGGATATTGGAAAATAGTACAAAGGGGGACCCTTTGGGTCGGCAAGGGGTCGAATCCCTGAGAGGTCGAATCCCTTCCGCCCCCCCCCCCCTAAATCAGCCCCTGAACTTACTAATTAAAAAATGAAGACAGTTATTTAAAAATTGTTACCTTCTTTATAAAACCATGAATTTAATAATTTACAACAAAAGTAAAAAAAAACCTTCACAGGAGAATGGCAGAAAAAAATATCATTCAAAAGCTTTACACTAAATGTGTGAAATTGGACAGTTTTGGACAGCTCAGAAGTTTTCAATTGGTGGCATTTTTTTGCAATCGACTTGTCAGCAAAAAAACATAGAATCAGATCTTAGGTAACACTATACACTAGTTTTTATGAAGTTTTTATAAAAGTTTCAAGAACAACAACTTTCTGAAACATTTTCTCCCCTTTGGGCACGGGAGGGGGTCACTTGTGGGGCTGTTGGGGGGATTGACTTGCCTCTCCTGCAATTTGAGCGAACTTCTTCTTCAAATCATCGTATTGTCCCTTCTCAGTCGAGGTCAGAGGCTAAAAAAGTTAATTAAACTAAAATATGGGAAAGCTGGAAGCTGTTATATAGCAAAATGTGGACAAATCAACAGATATACACCTCGTTAGCCAATCAGAATTGAGAAAATAAAAGAATTTGTACGTTTGCTTTCTAATCTTGATTCTGATTGGCTTACGATGTCTATTTTTGACCACACTCCGCTGGAAGCAGTGGCGTCCGCATGAATTATTTGATGTGGACGAGGGGGTGTTTTGTAAACATTTTTCCTAGCCTATTGTTTGGTCTTATTTTTTATGAGCTTTTTTGAAAACTAAAGATGCAATTTTAGTCCTTTCAGCACGCTGTTGGCTGAAACATAAATTTTATTTTTTTGTACAAAACTACCTTCAGTTAATTATACAATTTTCGGTATAACCGTTGATTACAGTGATGTATCTCTTAGTTTATTTTATTGAAACAAACTTAGTAGCTCAAATATTGAATGAACTTTCAAGCTAGCAACACACAAAAAAACAGAAAATCACAAAGTGAAACGAGCTATGCTCAAACGTTTTTTTTATAGCTACTGCAAGCGATTCGTTTGAGCCAATTTTTTACACCTTTTTGAAGGCTTTTTTATCCATTAAAAGACCAAACTGTTATCAAGTGGGACAGCTGCATAATATGTTGATGGTAGGTAGAATAATTGACAGAAGAAAATGATTCGATGGTTTCTACTATAACACTTTTCTTTTTTTTCTACATGGAAAGGAGACTGGTCGATCTATGAAATTCTGCTCACTTTAGTCGAAGCTCGAAGCCGAGCAGCACATAATTGGGTCTGTTCAACGCAATTTTGACGATTCGTTGCAGAATATACTGGCTCATATTAAATTTGAAATTTAGATCTTAGCTAAAAGATAATTTGAAATTAAAATCTAAAAAAGATGGTTTTATAAAAAAAATATGACGTGATTTACGAAACAGCATTTGTGATGTCATCATCATCATTACGCCGAAGTTATTGCCAATCAGCCAAGTCATTGATTCGGGGATATTTTCACGGTCTAAGGACCGAATGGGTGAAGGAACGAAAACAAACAAAGTCGAAAGTCAATTTTCAAAATGAATCAATTGCAGTTCAATTAAGAGGAACTAAATGAAGCAATATTTGGCTTCTTAATAGCGAAACCTTTGAAAAAGTTGTTCCAATTTGCCGGCTGACAGTGACAATTTGAAAAAGTTGCAGATATCTGCCGTTTTAATATATTCGGCCAAAACTAATATCAAGTCCCTGGAAATGTTTACTTTATTTGAGATTTTCATGCTTTCTTTTCAAGCTTAATAATACTGGAATCTTATTGGCTGACTTTTAGTTTCGCCTATTCGTTTTTCCCCTATCAGGGATTGCACCCATTGGTTTGACAACTTCAATTAATTAGTTGTAATAATAGCTGGTTTCCGTTCGAATTCTACCTGTAATACTGTTAACACGGGTTGACCTCCATGGACCGAAAAGGCTAGTCATAAAACTCCATGAACTAAATTTATCAAAAAATTACTAAACATACAATTTTTTTGCATTTTGCTCACATTGAGTCATCGAAATTTAGAAGAATTTTTTCTTGTTTTGGCATATAAGTCGGTGTATTGTCATAAATAAAATTCGATGCAAATAATCGGTGCATATAAGTAGATGTATCGTCATGTTAATCATAAAATTTGTGGAAACTCTATGACTAGCAATTTTTTGACGGCGACAGCAAAATTTTTTTGGAATAGTTTCAGAATTGCCCCAATTTGTTTTTTTTTTAAATTTTGGAAACACAAAAAATGAACTTTTTTCCGTTTCTCTGAATAAAATGTTTCAAAACGCTTGAAACGCCTATTTACTTTGCTTGACACACTTTTCATGCCTTGATCGATGCTTGATCAAATAAAAAAAATTGAACTCATTTTCGAAAACTTTTCACAAAAGTTAAAAGTTTGATACTTTCCTTATATCATTTGTGTGAGACAAATGTAAGACAATTCAGGCCATTTCCAAAACATTCGAGTTGCGAGAGGGTCAGACCTAAGCCGACTCTAATTTTGAGTAACCAAGGTTTTTGTCATTTGTGTTCGGACTCTACTTTTGAGTCACCAAGTTCTTTGTCATATTTGTTCGGCATTTGGTTTAAGGGAAAATGCTTTAATAATTTAGTCATACAATTTCCATATATGAAAAATGATTAACGATAGACCTTTCTTGCAATTTTCTGTACTTATGAAATTGCATGAAAAGTGTATGACTAGCATTTTTCCACATTTGAAAATTTTATGACTTGTATTTTCGGTCAACCCGGAAGTTAGTTTATTCCGCTTGTTTTATCTCAAACTTTTCGGATGTCTTCAAAGTTTTGTGCACCGCATCACTTGCAGCTTTGTCGAACTCAAAAATTGAATAGCAAAGTCCAAAAAAAGGTTTGGATAAAATAAATTGCAAAAACAAAACTTTTATAAGAGTTTCGTACAATTTTTTTTCCATCATTTTCGACCTTTTTTCCTAAATGAATTTAGCACGGGTATTTTAGGTTTAGCTTCAACTCAATCATTTATTGAAATCCAGAAAGAAAAGTTTATTTGTAATTTGGAAAAATTTAAATAAAAATCATGCGCATAGCTGCAAAATTAGTTCGCGTTAAACTGTACAAAAAAAACTCAAATTGAAAAAAAAAAGAACTGAACACGTTTCATTAACCTTCATTACAGTTGTTTCTCTCAGGGGCTGAAAAATATATAAGAAGTTTTGTATTCATAGCATCTTAGCATCATTGACCTTCATTAATGTTGTTTCTCTCAAATACTGAAAAATTCATGGGAAGTTTTGTTTAAATTAGCATCCATTTCAGGTTAACTTTTCAATTATTTTGAAAGTTTTCGACATCTAACCCATATTTCTTTTAATTAAACAGCCTAGACCCATGAGTTAGATTAGCCAATGTTTCAAAATCTATCATTAGCTTCAACCGACAGTAGTTAAGTCCGTGCTCTGAACGTCTGCACTGTTTTTTTCACTTTTGTTAAAATTGATTCTAACTACCCGGGTCGACCAAAACTTCTTATCATACAATTTCCATATAAGAGAAACTTCTTGTCATACAATTTCATACAATTCCATACGTAGAGAAAATTGTATGAAATCTCTATGACAAGCGTTTTTCCATATATGAGAATTGTATGATAGAAGTTTTTCCCATAAACCAAAAAGTTGATTTTTTGTTTCAAAATTCAATTTTTGAAAAAAATTGGGTTATGTTTGTAATCGAACACAAGTGACAAAGACCATGGTTTACTGAAAGCACCAAAGTTTGGACAATAATTTATTTACAATGCATAGAAAACGACCTGAACTGTCTTAGAGCTGTCTTTCACAAATGATATAACGAAAGTAACAAACTTTTAAAATTTGGCAAAATTTTTCAATGAAGATTTTTTTGAAAATTTGAATGTTTAAATTACCAGACATTGATTAAGGCATACATAAACATGCCATGCAAAGGAAATAGGAGTTTTCAGCGTTTTTGAAAAAAAAATAATTAAGCGAAAAGGACAAAAAAACATTAGTGCATCCAGGACTACGTTATGCACACAAAAAGTAAAGTTTTGCATGCAAAAATTTTTTTTTTTAGAAAATGATTGTTTGCGTACAAAAATTGATTTGCGGTTGAAAAAATTTGTTAGTCATAAAGTTTCCATATATGGGAATTTTATGATAAGCATTTTCGGTGTATGGAGGTCAACCAGGGTAGCCCCTAATTGTTCTTACCGTACATGGTCTATGACTCTAACTTTATCGAATAATTTGAATCGAATTAAAAAACTTGGAATGGAAAGAAAATGACAGAATTGCCTAGCTTTTAGGTAGTTTTGAACTGCTTCATGTTTCGTTTAAGATTCAATAGCAAAAATTGGAATGAAAAAAAAATGACAGAATCCAATTATTTTTAGGTAGTTTGAAATTGCTTCATGTTTCGCTTATACTTAATAGGCCGTCGAAATTCACATAACGGGCATAAAATAATGAAGCTCGCAGTTTTTTCCAGGAAATCTTCTTTTTCATGCTAATGACTTGTCTGTGAATTCCAGTTAAACTAAATGCACAATTCTCTGCTCTAACATTTCCAGAACTTGACTTTGTAATGATATAGCCCTCGTATGATATTAGACAAACCTAGTAACCAAAATTATTAGACCCATCAGAACACTGTTGTCATTTTAATTTTATGGGTTTTTATAAATTTCAGGGTAGATAGCTATAACTTAATAGAACCTGAACTTTAAAACTTAGAAGAGCCATAATAGTGTTTTTGTATTCACTGTAACACTCATTTTTTTTCACTTCGCCAGCGTATTCCTATAGCCAAACAAAAAGGAAAAGTGAACTAAATGAGTTTGTACAGATTTTAATGCCCAGTAACCGAACAGAAAGCTATCCCATATCCTAAAAAGACAATTGATTTTTACCTTCAAAGTCTCATTTCCCGATAGCTAAATTGACCATTTGATGATAAAGTCTTTTTATAAATTAAACAAAATTATGGCCAATGGATTCGAAATAAATTAAAATTTTGTTTTTTTTACCTTTGTAGTTGGTTTGTAGTCCGTCGGCTGGTCCAAAGCTCTAAAAAATTTTAAAATTTAAAATTCAAAAGAAAACTAAATATATTCTAAAATTAGGGGTTTCAACTACTGTTCTTAAAATATACATGTTAAACTGGTGGGAAATTGTCTTCTTATTGTAGTTTTTAAAGGAGAGGTACCTGTATTTGATGAGATGAAACTCTCTTTGGGTCACCATCCAGGCAATTATAATAGATTTTAGTTGATGATTTATTGAAGCTGGTAAATTCAAACTTCATTTAAATAAACCTAAATAAAGTCAGGAAGAATATCGAAAATTTGATTTTTTCGAAATTAGCCTTGAAATTATAATTTGAAATCTTGAGGGTGTATTCTTGAATTTTAGCCTTGAAATTCTAATTTGAATTCTTTAGGGTGTATTCTTGTAATATTTGAATTTGAATTTTTCACGAAGCCCACAAATATCGAGCTCGGAGAACTTTGCCAAAGTTGTGCAAGACCTTGCCAACTTGGATACTTTCTTGCGTTCTTGGTAAGTGTTTAAAAACCTACTTTTAAAAAGCTAAGGGACATTTTTTTGTTCTGGAAATCTTTGCTCTTTTTTATTCAATTAGTGTACAAACTGTGATTCAATCTTCTTCTCCGTGTAAATTCTCAACATGAAGTTTCCCTGTTCATTCGCTTCGAAAGTTGATGGCACGATGACGTAATCGCCAGGCTTCAGCTTGTATCTGCCCACAATCTACAGACAAAGAGACAAAAAGACAAAAAGATGCAAAAAAGTCTTACCACTAATATTAATAGATGCAATTTAAAATAATGATTTTTTTTTAAAATTATTGAAGATATTGATCAACTTTTTGTCCAAATGTTAAAAAAAAAACATTTTTCTGGGATTTGCATCAGCAAAAAAGCTGGATGTGGATCTTAAAATTCCTCGGGAGCGTATTATTGGGTTATAGAAAAAAAGGGCTGAAAATTTTGGTCGGCTTCTTTCTAGGTCGAGTAGGTTGGTTATCCGATCTTCGAGAACACTGTGAAGAGCCTACTTTGACAGTCCGTTTTTGGGAATACTTTTTAAAATTTTTACCGTTAAACCTCGTTTTGTTTTTCATTTTTTTAATTGTGTGTTTTGGCCCCGAAAGAGCTTTTTCCAACTGTTTTAATATTGGCTGACCAAAAACGGATGCCAAAAAAACTACCAAACGGCGGACAATTTGGACCCCCCCCCCCCCAGTCCCTCTCTATTTGGGTACTGTTGGGTACCTCTCTGCTGTTGATGTAGGAGGGACTCTTCTCTGTCATCTTGCGGGTGAGGAAGAACTTCTTCTCGAGGTCAGTGCCTGCCACGTACCCACTCTTCTTCTTGTACTCCTCCGAGATCTAATTTCAGTTTCCCTTTTTAAAGTCTACGATTTGTCACTTTTCTTTTAGAAGTACACTTGTATCGTAGATTGCAAAATCAAATTGTTACGAAGTTTTTCCCTCAAATTTATCCCAAGCTTGATAGAAACTTATATATATTTTTTAGTAAAATAGTAATTTTTAGAGCTTGCGTCTCGTAGATGGCAAAACTAATGTTGTGACCATTTTAGACTAAAATTATCGGCCACGAACATTTTGCATTATCATTTAGCATTTTTAAAAAAATTATCGGTGTTTTCAGGATACTTTTAGAGAAGGTGGAATCCCTCATACGCGAAGGACCGAATGCGCGAAAACAAAAATCAGCAAATCAGATTTCAGTAATCTAAAATTTGGAAAGAAAGTAAACATTTCCAGGGACTGAATATTGATATTCGCCGAATATAAAAGGGCAGAAATATGCAAAATTTTCAAATTGTCATTGACCGCCGCCGATTTGGAACAATTTTTATATTTCAAGGGTTTCGGTATGAAAGAAGCAAAGTATTGCTTCATTTAGTTCATTTTAATTGAATGGCAATAGCTTCTTTTTAAATTTTGACTTTCGGCTAATTTTGTTTTCGGTCTTTCGCTCACGAGTTTTTCGCTCATTCGGTCCTTCGCGCATGAGAATAGCCCCCTTTAGAGAAGAGTATTAAGTTGTATTCAGAACTTGCCTCGTAGATGGCGAATCCGATAGTGAGCGGCTTCTTGCCCAGACTGCGTCCAGTTCTAGTACCCTTCTGGTACAGGGCAACTATCAGAGTGCAGCCTTCATCTTTGTCGTCATCATCTGCCTCATCCAGACGCACAAACACCTGGGGGTTCTTGTGGAACGTTTCTAAACAGAGTCATAATTTATTTCAAACAATGTGAATAATAAGTATGTACTATACTTCACCGAACATATGAAATTGAATCTAACTGAAAGTGTGTGAGGGGCTACATATTTACATGTCAATCAATTTAGTTGCTATCCGTTTATTACTTATCTCTGAGAGTTCTCATATTATAATTAAGTATGATTTGGTACCTGCCTGTCAATCAGTCTAGATCTGTCTAGCTGTTATGTGTTGACCTCTAGTTCAGTGTCTTATTTATGCGAACTAGAAATCAGTTGAATTAACACTTAACAGGAACGGTTTAACTATCCCTTGTTATGGCCCGGTCAACAGATGGTGGGGGAAAAACCCCCTTGGAATTGTGGCATTCTGGCCTCCGAATCAGGCGGAACCACAACTCTTATGGGAGCATTGGAAGCAGAGATTTCATTGGGCAATGGTGGCGAAACATGGATTAGTTGCGTCGCAATTTTATTTCCGTCAACATTAACTGAAGCGCAGATCAATGACCTGGGAGAAATTGGTGGCAAACCAAGGGAAGAAGGTGAACGTACATTGATATCGAATCTGTACCTCTGTTTGGGACACGAGGGACAGCGGGCCTTGCATAATCAGCATCCACACTTGAATATGGAAACAATACGATACCCGAGATTTTTGGATACCTGTGTGGCCCTTTTCCAAAAGGAGCGAAATGAGACGTATGAGATGCACCAGATGTTGTCCAGGAAACAAAAGGAGGGAGAAAGTTTGGAATCGTTCTATGCAGAACTCAGCGGAATGGCGGCGAGATGCAATTTGGGTACCCAAGAGCGGAAAATGGTGAGAGACATATTTATATTCAATATGAGGAACAGAGACGCGCAGAACGAGCTGTGTCGGTAAACTAAGACTCCGGAGGAAGCATTAAGAATCGCAATGTCGTATGAAAGAGGAGACAAGTACGCCAAGACCTACAAGGGCGTCGCATCTGGCTCCACGGGAACGGCCTATCCATCGCCAGGGGGTTCTTTGCAGATCAAAACCGAACCAATCAGCAATATTCGTGGATCCAGGGGACGAGGAATGCCAAGGGGATGGGGCCAATACCCAAATCGGGGGGGGGGGGGGGGTCGAACACAAGAGCGAATGCCAGAACGAAGATGTTACAATTGCGATCAGCCAAACTTCACTCCAGAACACCGACAGCGATGCCCAGCAAGAGCCGCCGTCACATGCAACTTTTGCAAAAAGGTCGGGCACTTTGAGAGAACTTGTCGGGGAAAACGACAGTCACGGAGGGGACACAGCCAGTTGGATTAATCCAAGGGGATGAGCCATTTGATGAAGAGGATATTCCCTCGGATGACGTTGGGTCACAAGTTGCGGCCAATTCAGTAGGTTTTGTTAAACGAGAACACCACAGTTGGTCATCGGAGAGTTCAGACGACTACATGGTTATGGCCATTAGACGTAAGAAAGAGACACTATTGAAAGTTGCCGGACCTAAAATATATCTTAATGGACACCCAATGAACATCTGGATCGACAGTGGATCGCTAATTTCCATATTAACACTGGATGACTTGAGGAAAACAGTGGGACGAGCGGGAATCAATTTGAAACAAGATGACATTGAAGACGACGAATTTTGGGACTACAGCAACAATCGGATCAAAATGTTAGGACGAATGTAGCTTGAATTGGCGTCCAACGGCTGGAAGACGAAAGCAGAAGTCCGAGTTATTGGAGGGACCAGACCATCAATCGTGGGACGTGACTTGATGGGGAAACTCGGACTCCATTTGATGCATGGGGGCAGTGATGAACATCTAGGGGACGGAAGACAGTTCATGTGAGAAGGAGTACGTTGGAGAATCGGAGGATGAGAAGAGAAATTTTTCAAAAATCTTGTACCAGTGCAGCAGAAGGGACGGAGAGTGCCGGTAACGCTCCAAGAAAAGGTGGACAAAAAGATTGATAAGCTACTAACTCAGGGACATATAGAAAAGTTGAAAGAATGTTCGGATCGATATTTTGCTTCTCCGATCGTCATCACCGTAAAAAAAGACGGGTCCGTGAAATTAGCGTTGGAATCTCGAGAACTTAATAAACAAGTTCATAAAAACAAATACCAAATGCCAAACATAGAAGAAATTGTAGAGATACAATAGGACAACTTATTTCCTAGAAAAAACAAGGGGAAGTGTATTTTACCACAATGGATCTAACGTACGCGTATGGGCAGCTACCACTTAGTGAGGAAACAAGCGTACATTGCAATTTTTCTTTGGTGGGCGGACGATCGACAGGAACATACCGATTTCGAACAGGATTTTACGGTTTAACGTGCATCGGGTGATGGACTCAATTTTGAACGAATACCCACAAGCGAACGCGTTTATTGATGATATTTTGGTAACAACCAAGGGAACGGAAGTGGAACACATCTGCTCGGTTGAAAAGATACCCAGGAAATTAAATCGCAAAAACATCTCGTTAAAATTACCAAAATGCGAGTTTGCGAAACGAGAATGTGAGTGGCTCGGTCATCGTATAACTGAAACGGGGGTAACGCCTCTTAAACATAAGACATCGCCAATTGACGCATTAACGAATCCTAAAATAGTTACTCAACTGAAATCATTTATGGGCTCAATTCACAGCCTGCATAAATATTTACCAGCTATAGCTGAAATGCCAGCTCCCTTAAGGCCACTTCTCAGCAAGAAGAATGAATATAACTGGACCACGGAATGTGAAAATGCCTTTCAAAGCATTAAATTGGGGGTCGCAAACATTGTTGAACTAAAACATTTTGAAAGTCATAAAGACATTAGAGTTGTCTGCGATGCAAGCCATAATGGCCTTGGAGCAGTTTTGGAGCAGTTGGGTACAGAAGGGTGGCGCCGAATCTCATTCGCATCGCGGTTCTTAAACGCAGCCGAGAAAAAATATTCCACAAACGAGCTCGAAATGCTGGCAGTGGTATAGGGGGCCGAATATTTCAGAAACTACATTTTGAGAAGATCTTTTGCAGTTATCACGGACCATAAGGCCCTTATTTCATTACTTAACGGGAATACAAAGAAAAACAAAACTCTATTTTCAAGATTGACACGTTGGCTAGACAGACTTATTCCATTTGACTTTGTAATAGAACACGTACCGGGCGCAAAAATCGGACTAGCGGGTTATTTTTCAAGACACCATAGCGAACCTCCTAAACCGATAAGTCAGTATGATAACTTGTTCACCGTTGCAAAAATTGCTTCAATTCGAAAATCCCTTGGTTTTACAAACAATTTAAAATCCCTTGGTGAACGAAATCATCAGGCTAATAAAAGAACTGGTTCTAAACAGTCTAGACAGTTCTCATCCAATCAGAATCGAGCACAGAAAACATGCTTACAATCAACGACGGTTGAGGGCGGAAAGTCATGTGTGAAGACATCGACCAATAGGAAGCGAGCAATTTGCATACTGCCTACGTCAACGAAATCCAAGGGACATTCAGTGTGCTCTATATATCGTTCCCTTGGAAGAAGGTTAAATCAGCCTAAACTAAAGAATTTAAATGAAATGGACGTGTAAATAAAATAACTTCTCAAACTAATTCTCAAACTAACTATCCAAATAGATTACATTCGCAAACCAACTCTCCACTTAGATTAGTTGAAAACCTCCTAAGTAGTGATGAAATAACTGTTATTAACCCAGAGATTGTTGCCATTACGAAGAACACACGAGATTCAAAGATTAACACAGTACTTTCTATTCCTTCGAAGTTTCCGGGCGAGCTTTTTCCTACTGTTAACCCTAATCAGCAAGTTATGTCCATCATTCTGCGTGATTGCAAAGTTCTTAAGAAATCCCAAGCGTTACCAGAACCTTTTAATTTGTAATTTGTTGCCTCTAACATACCAGCGGATGTGAATTTACTACGAGTCAAGGAAACATTGGAGAAGAGGGTTATTTTAAGGGAGGAGCTACTGAAGATTGGAAAATACTGGGCCCAATACGCAAACGACTTGTCACTACGACATGATTGTGTTTGGCTAGACGGACGGCTGGTCATTTCCTTGCCGTTACAAGTCCCAATTGAATCAAGAATACACTAGTACCATCATGGAAAACGGAACATGTTTTAAACAGCTTGTGATGTTTGGTACCCCTACATGTACCGGAGTTTGGCAGCAAAGGTCACGTACTGTCAGCAGTGCACGGACGCGGGTAAGAACCTAAAAACGTTGTTACCCAAGGGAGACGTGGGCAAGGTCCGTGAAACAAGGGAACCAAATGAATGTATACAGTTGGATTTCTGGAGGCCAATAAGCTATTTAAATGAAAGTAAAAAATACGTCTTAGTTGCTACGGACCGTTTTTCGAGGTGGCCATCAGCGATGGTTACTACAACCAAAACTTCAGATAAAGTCTTAAAATTTCTCGATAAGTACATAACTCAGCATGGCGTACCTCGGAAAATCCACGTCGATCAGGGATCATGTTTTACATCCAATAAATTTGAAAGATTCTGTAACAACGAGGACATTGAGTTAGTGTACTCCCCAGTGAATGATCATCGGGGTACGGGTTCAGTGGAGAGAACGATAGGAAGTTTAAAGAATTTTGTCCTCACTTATGCATCTGAAAAAGAGCATAAGTCTCTAGAAGTTATGGTCGATAAAGCATTAGGCGCGTTACGGTTTTCCAAAAAAGCAACGACTAAACTAACACTTTTTAAAGCTCACCACGGCCGGCAGGCGAACACCGTGTTACGAAACCTTACGAAAAAACCGAGCCTTAAAAATCTGAATTGGAAGAACGTCTTAAAACAAAAGTGTTTGTGTTTAGACGAAGGTGACCCTGAAATGAGCTCAATCGAATTTCCACAGCACTCAAACTGGGATGTACGATCGGACTTGACATATGCTCCGGCACTAAGGAAGGCACCGCTCATTCTGGACAGCGACCTGCAGATGGAAATAGGCCAAGGGGAGGCATCGGGGGTTGACCCGAA